AAATAAATTAAATCGAAATTTATAATTATATATGTCTGTCTTTTTTACATTTTTCTCAACCTTGAATTATTATTTCTATTACTCATTCTGCTTTTTCTTAGAGATCTATTATCTTCTTGTCGCATAGGTGGTCGGTAACTCCAGTGAGGTTCAGGAGCTTCATCTAATTTAAATAATTTTGGATCCTTACGTATAGCGTATTCATAAGCTACTCTACGTTCACTTAGTACATGTTTAATTCGTGCCATTGATTTTTGGCACTATATTCATAAAGAAGTAAATAAATAAATACACATATGTTTGCCGAGAAAGTAACCGCGTTAAAGTTCTGAAATATGTAATAATATTTAGAACATAATTAATTACCTTAAACGTTCTTTCACTGAACGCTTCAATCCACAATTGATCATATATTTTGTTCCATCTTTTTGCTTCTGACCACATTGTACCAAGTAAATTACGTTCTTTAAGTAAAACATACCAAAGTTTATGTAAATCTTCAAACGATTTACGTCTTAATTCTGATGCTGTCCAAGCTCGTCCTAAAAAAAAAAAAAAATTCAATTAGATCCAAATTATTTTGTATAAAATGAAACTTTCTGGCATAACCTTTTAATCTTATTTAAAAATTATATCTTAATTAAACCTGTAGTCATTTCTTTAACTGTAGGTACTGGATTTGGTTTTTCGGCTCCTCCTTGAAAAAATTCATATAATCCTACTACCCCTTTACGTGTACTAGGTTTCCATTCAAATAATCTATTTGTAGTTTGCAATGAACGATAAATCATTGAAAACCGATTCATTTGATTTATTTATTTTTTTTTAAAAAAAAAGAAACCAAAAAAAAAAAAAAAAAAAAAAAATTTTATTTATTAAAAAATAAATTTATCAAATTTATCAGATGATCAGAATTTTGAGTATTAGATTTTCAATACGCAATTTATTTATCAAATGTGTATATGTATATATAAATATATATATGTATCCTAATCGAAAAACTATGACAAAAAAAATAATTTACCCAAGTAATAAGAATAAAAAGTACATATAAAACGCATTTAGAGTTAACAATGGGACAAATAATAAAAAATATGTTAAAGAAATAAAGCATTATTTTACCCTCAAATATATATAATACAAAATTCAAAACAAATAATGCATTATCTTTTTTTTTTTGTTTTGTATTTTTTTGGTTCACCTGTATTTTCTCTCTTGATTATCTCATATTTGCCACAATTTATTCATTTTGTATTATCGGTTTGCTCGCGTCTTTATGCATATCGATCAAAATTCACATCGATAATACGACCTCCATATGTGTATCCACTAAATTTTTCTGTATAAAAAAAGGGAAAGCAAAAAAGTAAAAATCTCGATAATTAGAACAGGATTGATCCAAAATACTAAGCATATTTCATCAAATAAACTTACCGACAGCAAAACGAGCCGATTCATTAGAATCAAATGAAACTATACCGGCACCTTTAGGTCTTCCATTTTGTTCTAAAATCTCGGCCCTAATTACATTTCCTATATTATAATCAAATTTATGATAAAAAAGATAAATATTATAAATTATATTGAAATGTCATTTTAATAATAATGAATATTTACCGCAGTGTTTGAAAAGTTCTCTTAAATCGAGATTTGTTGTAGTAAACGGTAGCTAATTTTTTCCCAACAAAAAAAAGGTGCCAAAATTATTAATCCCAAACTTTTTCTTTTTAATATAAATAATTAATTTTGAATGTATATGATTAAAATAAATTTCTTGGGAAGAAAAACAACTATCACTATCCTTCTTCTCATTTCCCTCTTTCCTTCAACACTATCTTTTTCAATTAATAAATTGTTCATATATATTTCATTGGCGCAGAAAAAATAATTAAACTTTAAATATACCATTCCAAACACAATTACAACCACTTCCCATATTTAACCTCAAAACACACTCATTTCACCGCCTTTTTGTTATTAAACCTTACATTTCTGACAAAGATTTGATTTCCAGCCGCCCCACCGGTTGCACCAGGTGTAGGGTAGAAACCCGCTGACCCGTCATATCCTGCAGCTCCTGGGTATGGCGCACCGTAACCTCCACCAAATCCACCGGCATAATCCATCATCCCTGCACCTGCAGCGCCGAAATCATTATACCCGCCATATCCATCGTATTGATCTGGAACGGGAACCATAGATTGATAACTTCCCGGATATGCTGTTGGATTAGGAGCTGGTGGTGCACCATAAAATCCTGCATTTCCACCATGAGGAAAATGATTAGCGCCTCCATAAGGTCTAGGAGGACGTGCTGAAAATCTTGGTGGTGGTGGTCCTCCAGCAAAACGATCCTACGATATATATGATAAAAGAAAAAAGTGTATTCGGGAAAGAAAACCTACCAGCTTAATACTTGCCTCTCATAATTGATTATTATTTATACACCGCCCTCGCCCAAATAAATTAAAAAAAAATAATAATTAAGGTAGAAGAAACACGCTCATTTGAGCAAAGTTATAAAACCACCATTATAAAAATTATTCTTTTTTCCCCACCCAAATTTTAAACCAAAATAACCAAACAAACAGCACCCCACCTCACGGACTTCAATCCTTCTACCATTCATTTCGTACCCATCGTACATAGCTAAAATAAAAACAACCATTTAGATTATTATCCTAAATATCAACCACCCTGTTCAATATCTTCTTTCTTTACTCGTTTCCTATAAACCTATACAAATCCTGTACTTATGCACAACATACAAATCGCATTAGAAGCATCTCCTGGTGTTTCAAATAATACAGTTCCCGAGCCTTTAGGTCGTCGATCAGGACCAACGAGAATGTCTGCTCGAATTATATTTCCTATTTAACCATAACACACGACGTTAAAAAAACAATATGTATAAATATGAAAAGATGACTCAAACTTCATTATTTTCCATACCTGCACCTCTAAATAGATCCTTTAATTCCTGCCATCCTACAGAGAACGGTAGCTTAAAAATAATACGTATGGAAAATTATATCACTTCAAATGAAACAAACGAAAATTATTTATTCCTTCAACAATAGTTTGCACTTACATTTCCTACATAGATTTGTCTTCCTGCATTACTGGATATATTTGGATGATGATGATGGTTTCCAGAAGGGGGAAATCCAACAGATTTTTCAGGCCTAATATTTAAACCTGTACCGAATTTAGCCTCTGACTCACGATCCTAAATAACAAGAATGTTTGAGTGCAATCCATACAAAATTTGAATAGGTAATCATTATTTATCTGCTAGCTGATACCTCTCTAATAAATACAGGCCTTCCCAGTAATTGTGTATCGTTAAGTGTTTGAATAGCTCGTCTAGCTTCTTCAGGTGTACGATATTCAACAACTCTATAAATGAACAAAATTATTCATGCGTTAGCCACTCTCTTGAAAGAGATATTAAATGATAAATTTAATGAACTCACCCACAGCCCTACGGAAATAATTAAAAATAATTTAATTAATATAGCATAGCATAATATAAATGACAAATTATAAGAAATAAGATAATTATTCATTACTTTTGACATGCCATTAGGTTGCATTAATACGTCGGCAAATACAACTTCTCCCGCTAATTTAACGAATTATTACCATTAATAACTATTAATTTTGAAATCTCTTAAAATCTCAAGAGAAATAAAATATATATTATCATGAACCTTGACGCATAAAATCCTTTAATTGTCCCCATTTTACTTCATACGCTAAATTACCAACATAAACACGGCATTCCTTTTGTGATCTCTGAGAAGCATTTATAGCTTCCAAAAATACAAAATGAAAATATAACGCATTTATAATATGATTATCACGTAATAAAATAAACAAATAGTTAAAAATCTGTCAAACCTTGTGAGAAATGTTTTGATGACGAGGATAATGAGGATGATGATGATCTCTTTATACTAATGCGTCCGTGGATCGAATTCTTTGATGATGATGAAAAAGTTTTCAACTTACCTGCCGACTCTCTCGCCGATAACCTTTGACCGTAAGTTCTGTCAGGTCTAAAATTAGCGTTACGAACGATATGTCTGTCCCTTGAATGACTTCTTTCTCTTCTATCCCGCTCCCTTTCAGAACGATGAGGCTCTCTAGTATTATTATTATGCCTTTCTCTTTCAAGTTCTCTTTCTCTTCGTTCCCTTTCTGATTCATAATGATCATTATATGATGGACGACGTGGTATTGGACGATATGAATCAGTATATGGTTCTCTTGTTGGTGGTGAACGCGGTGAGCGTGTTCTATCTCGACGAGGCGACCTAGAGCGCCGAGGAGATCTAGAACGTCGATGTGGTGATTGAGATCTACTAGTGGTTACTCTTAAAGAATAATGATCCAAATAGGTTTATAAGTACATTCTGAAGAATCCAAAACTGTAAATATTAAAACTTCTCAAAGTGGGAAGTACCTTCGACGAGGTCTATATTCTTCGTCATCCACTCTAATACGTCTACGATCGTCTTCATAAAGCTCTTCGTGATTATCCAGATCATCGGCAGCTGTTAAAGAATTTAGTGTTGAGTTGATTGGATCGTTCATATCATCGGAAGGAGTATGCGGTCCCGAAGACAGTTTTTCAAATTTATCGGCCATCAAATATTTTTTATTCTCCTATATACGCGAACTAATCTTAAGTTTAATAAAAAAAACGATCAGTTTCAAGAGAAATTCTAAAGCGGTGGGCTTTTGAAATTTAATAATTATTGTAAACTTGGACCAATCATCTTTCAATTCTATTAATGTATAATTTAGCCAATCAAAATTCACCATCGTAATTTTTAGCAACAAAAAGTATTATCACGTGATTAAGGCTTAATAATAGATTAATTTTTATAATGTCGTAAGTAGACAACATCATCACGGGATCTCTGTCATTTAATTTTAAAACATTTATTTCATACATTTAAATATATTTCTTTTCAGAAAAAATTATTAAATTTTCAGGGAAGAGTAAAATATCTATCACCTATAAACATTTTAAATAATCTTAATTAATCTTAAATATTTCATCTAATGTTATATAACAACTTTGAAATTTCCTTACCAAAATCACCTAAACCAGGTATAATATATTTCTTCTCATCTAATCCTTTATCGATACAAGCTGTTATAAGTTTAAGTTGGGAGTATTTTTTTGTAATAGCATCAATACCCTCAGGAGCAGCAATTAAGTTCAAAAATAATATTTTATCTTCTTTTACTCCATGAGATAACAATACTTCTATGGCTTTAATAGCAGATCCACCAGTAGCTTAATAAATTTTTTCAATTTAGTTAGTTGTTTTATAGTTAGAACACGGTATATATGTGTTTGTGCATACCAAGCATTGGATCTAACAAAAGAACGTATCGGCTTTCTATATCTGGAGGCAATTTGGCATAATAAAGCTAATGGATTATATTATTTGTATTAAATAAAAAAAAAAACGAAAATTGGTATCGATATTTCCAGATTCCATATAAAAAAAGGTTCTGAATAAAAATAATTAATTACCTTGGGTTGTGCCGTCTCTTCATCACGTTGTATCAAAATCTTACCGATCCTTACACTCCTAATTTGAACAAAAAAAAATCACCCTAATGATAAAAAAAATGGTCTACAAATATCAAGGAAATATTCCTACCTGCAACAATCGCGTAAACCTTGTTCCATAGCTTCACCTGCACGCATAATAGAAACACCACAAATTTTGCCCTTGAAACCGACACCTTTGAATTCATTACCTAATTAATTATTTAATGGATGATCAATTCGTCAATAAAGTAAAACTAATTCAAAAAAAATCACGTCCGTTGAAAAATTACCTGTTGGTGTGACAATATTTTTTTCCACCACAGGTAAATGGTTTAACCCTAAATATCAATAGAAATATTACGTTATATATATATATATATATTAACAAATAGAGGACAAGAAATTATCATATTTATTAGACCTTCTTCGACAAGTAACCTAATAATTCTATCCGAATAGAATATAAAGTCTCCGCGATTCGTTGTTTTGTCTCGAATCATGGTTAATAAAGCTTCTATTTGGTTCGTTTCACGAAGACATACTACGTTAGGAGGAAGTGGATAGTCAGATTTCGGCTTATAGGTTATGAAAGGAATTAGTTAGAAATTACAATATCAAATATAAATCATCGAAAAAATATTCTATGTACCATTATTTTTAAGTTTATTCTAAATTTTAGTGTTAGGTTGAAGTTATTTATATAGACAATGAATTCTATTTGTCACACAAACTAAGATCGACGATCCGGTCATTCGACAAGTATCTCCTATTGTATAATATTCTCCTCATAAATCTGATGTAAAAGACCCGGGGATATTATATATTAAAATCAAAAAAAAAATTACATCAAATTATTCATATTCATTATCATATTGTTTTTCATATTCATTTATAATATCTATATCATTATCATGACTATCTTCTTCACTACTTTGACTTTTTAATCAAATTAATATCAATATTATCCATGGTCTTTTTAGCCAACTAGTAGGGTTCCGCAATTCGATTTGATTCGATCAAATTCAAATCAAAGAATGATTTATTTGATCAAATCCAAATTAATGTTTGATTCAATTTAATCAAATTCAAATCAAGTATTCAAATATTTGATTTGATTCAAATCAATAGTAAAGCCATCTCCAAAGCTTCAGGAGT